AATGCTCACAAATAGAAATAAATTCCTTCATCTGTGTGTGTGTGTGTGTGTGTGTGTGTGTGTAAAACTCTGAATCATAATGAAATAAAAGTAGCCGAGAAAATATACACTAACATGGCCGCTGGATCGGTCTCCCCACACACCTCCACCCCTCTCTCTCACACACACCTACCTAAAGAAATGGTAGCAGAGGCAAAAGTTTACCTCCACCTTATTAAGGTCTTTGCTGGTCCTCAGAATTAAATTGACATAAGACAGATAAACAGGAGAAAAGCATACAAATTTATCTAAGTTTTATGTGACACGGGAGCCCTCACAAGGCAATGAAGATCCACAGAAATGGAAAACCTAAATGCTTTTATACAAGGTTGAACAGGAGGTAATTGTGGAAAAGTAACTAAATTATGTGGGGAGGCTAAAGGAAGATAAGAATTTATTTGAACAAGGGTTATTTGTACAAAATTCTCTGTCTCCACTTCCTGTCTTGATGATAAGAATATTACTTTCTTTCTGGTACAAGAAAGACATCTTCCATATGGAGGTTTAATCTCATGATTTTAGAGAGAAAAGGGAGAGGGTCAGAGTGCCCTTCTTGTATCTCTTTTTTTTTAAGTGCCTTTAGCTCAAAAATAATTTCGATGTCAATTTTGAGGCCTATTATGGGGTAACATATTATGATCTCCTTCAAAATCATGCTTATCATTCAAAGTAAAACAAACATAATTAAATGAATGTAGCATCCTTGGCATCTTATCTCTTTCCACTTTAACAAAAGGTGACACAGTTTCTGTGTCACTGAGGGAACCGGGCAGTATGCCTGCGGTAGGTTTAAGTTTCGATTCTCTGAGCCTCTGAAGTGGAGAACTGTTAAGGAAGTATGAACTTCAGAAGCAGGGAAATGTGACGCTTTGCATGCAAATTTAGTTGGCTAAGTGTTCTTGGGTGGTGATTCTTGGTGAAACTATTAGCAAATTCTTGATCGTTAAGTGACTTTCATTTCTAAATATACATAATTCAAAAATAAACAAAAATAAATTTTTACATTGAGTGAAAGTAAAAGGAAATTTTTTATTTATAGCAAAATAAGACTGCAGTTGCTTTTAAATAATGGGACGGGGGGGGGGCAGTAATTCACCCACATTTGTACAGCATGGGATAGGGAATTGCTCTTTTTAAAGGAAAATTTCTAGAAGGAATCTTTGTATGTGAAAAGACACCACACCTGACTTCAGGCCTTGGTCTGGAAGAAATAAATGGTCCGAAAAAGAAGTAAAATAAATGAACTGAATTTGTAGTATCCACAGGTAGACCAGAAAGGGAAGCAGTTTGGGGAGCAGGGAGAAGAGGAAGAGTGAGGGAAACAGCTCAGTAACTGGAAAAGACCAAAGCTTGAGTAAGGCAGCTAGTGAGAAACTCTTGGAGTCCTGGTGGGATTGGGGGCACTTTTAAGTGCTTCCCTATGAGGATGCATTTATTTCACTGTAAACACCCACCATTACTCATTTCTTCTAAACCTTCAGTGAAAAGTTTATTTAAGCAGCAGGATATTATTTTGAAAGGTTACCCAGTGTGGTTCCTGTTCCCAGCACTTCCTACTTTCTCTCCTTCCCCTTTCCCACACTCCCCATTACCTCAGCTATAGCATTCCACAAGGAAAAGGAGTTTATAGCAGAGAAAAGGAGTCAGATTCTTGGCTTTTGACTTTTAAAATCTTAGGATTCCAGGCATACATTTTGGATTTAAAATAATGTATAACTAGTCAAATCCTGTCCTTTCTGCCCCTACCCTACCGCCTCTCACCTCTCAAGATATTCTTCAGACTAGGGAAAGGGAGAGTCAGGGAGAAATGAGATGAAACTTTCTTCAGGGTCTTTGAGAAGTAGCTCTGCTCCCTGTCTCCCAACCAGCCCTGGGGGAAGATCCCAGGAAAGTTTGGGGATCTAAGAGCAAAGCAAATCAGCACCTTGCTTTCCAGGTGGGCAAGCTCCCAGAGGTCCTCAGCACCCCACAGGGTGTGGGTAGAAATGTCTGTGTGGCATATGAGGAAGGCAGGCCTAAGCCAGCCTCGCTGTGTCTCGGCACTCCCCAGGTGCTGCAGGACTCAGCAGAATGTCTTCTTCACTGGCCAAGGGTAGCACAGATGTGACTCAGAAAACCAGAGCCTTGCAGTCAGGGTAAGGAGATCTCACCAGCCATGACCTGAATAGAGTGAACAGAACAAAGGACATCTCAAAGGAAGTAGGACAAGAACCAGACAAGGTGAACTCTTAAGTGAAGACCTGGACACATGGGGGAAAATAGGCTAGACCCCACCACCATCCTCGATACTCTGACACCATATAAGCCCACCCCAGCCCTGCCCAGAATTTAGAAAGAGGGAAGGGGAGAAATCATGAAATTGGCTAAG